GAGCACTTCAGGGGTCTCTGTTCAGCCCCTTGGCCTATGGAAGTGGGAACACATCCATAAACCCAGGACCCCTCGGCCTCCTCCTGGGAGCTGCATCTGCCACAAGCTCACAGCCTGCATCTCTCAGCAGACCATAATGCTACAGGAGAGGGCGGTGCAGAAATGGGATGGGTAGCAGGATGTCTTCTGCAGCCGTACTCCTAGACTGCAAGATCAGAAATGCCCAGAACATTCCCACCAAGGAAGGGCTTCAGAGCAAGGGCTCCAGCCACATCGACACCCACATCTCAACAGTGAAGAAATGGGTACACCGGGCTGCATCAGTGGGGAAGACTCCTGGGACAGGAGGACAAGAAGGGACAAGCTCAGAGAACCAGACACGGTGCAATGCTAGCATCACAAGACAAGTGTGGCACATGTACAGCAGGTCCCCTTGTCACAAGGAGGGCTGAGATCTCAGGTTCCAGCCCTAAGCCTGTCTGTCCACTTATTTCAGGCACCCACCATAACTATTGGTGACAGGATAGCCACTCTATTAAGTCAAACATGGTCGCTTGAAGACAGCAACTCGGTGGCTCTCGGGTGAGCATCATCCATGGCATAGATAGGATGGACAAGACGAACTCACAGGATGAGTCACAGCCTGGGAAGGGTGGGGTGGGGTGGGGTGGTGCCAGACAGCACGGCTCACCTCAGAATGGTGCCCGGTGAGAGCCCTGTGAGAACACAGGGAAAGCCTGTCCCAAAGCCCGGGGGGGGGGGGGGACACACTCATGAATTGTTTACTTATGGGATTTACGGAGAGACCACAGTTGACCACAGGAAGATGCATGGATGAGAAGGACCATGGCATTTGCATGCAGTGCTGAGGGGACAGGCTTAGCTCAAGATGGTACACAGAGGCTTCCTATCCCTTAACAAGGGCTGCTATTTCAGCACCTTAATGGGGAGCAGCAGGGGATGGACACTCTCCTGAGTGGGCCTCTTCCCAGGTGTACACACCCACTTTCCAAGAGGTAGTGCTGAATAAAGACTCTTATTTTATTTCTCACTTAATGGCTTTGTGTCCGTGTGTGTGTGCAGTACCCATGGAGACCAGAGGAGGGCGTTTGAGTCACTGGAGCTGTATAGGTGGGTGGGTGCTGCCTGATGTGGGTGTTGGGAACTGAACTTGAGTCCCCCTAACCACGGAACATCTCCCCAGCCCCAGCGCTGTCTTTAAAGGGTACTTGAAGGTGCCAGAGCTCTCTTGCCCTCACCAAGATGGGCCTCAGGAGGGGTTCTTCAAGAGTGATGGCACCTCTCAGAGTTAACTCTCCTTGTGCCTGGCCCCAGCCTTCCTGGAGCCATCACCAAGACGGCCTGGAATGTTTGATAAGGATGTCATGGGAGTTTCTCACTACATTTACCAAAGGAGCCTTGACATGCAGGCTCAGAGGAGCAGCATGGCCCCGTGACTCTGTCATTTTGATGGTAACTATGATGACCCCAGGGATGGACGCGCTGCAGCGGCAGCTCAGCTGCTTGTGGTTCTTGCTGGACTCAAGGCTCCGTGAGTCACTTGCCATCTGCACCCTATCAACACTAGCCTCTGGCTCCCCTCCTTGGTTCTCACATTCTAAGCCCACTGGGAAGATGCAGGAGACACGGATTCAGGCTCACAGCCTGGGGTGGTGGCTTGCCTTCTAGATGATGCTGCACTGCCTCCCCACCTCCAACAGAAGACTCTGGGTACCAGGAGTCAGCACTCGGAGCAGTGCTGGGGTGATACCCGCGATGATGGGACCAGCCATAAACCGGGCCCCACATCATGGGCTCCACTACCCTCTAGTGCAGGGGTTCTTAGCCTTCCTGCTATGGTGACCCTTAAATGCAGTTCCCTGTGTTGTAGTGACCCCCTCCCAACCATAAAGTTACCTCCTTGCTACTCACAACTGTAATTTTGCTACTGTTGTAAACTGTATTATAAATAACTGACAGGCTGGATATCTGATAGGTGACCCCAAAAGGGGTCATGACCCACAGGTTGAGAACTACCGCTCTAGTGGGAACCCTTGCTTATAGAGCAGCCTGCCCTGGCCATTTGGCAGTGACAATAGAGTTGAACACAGGTCCCTGCTGTTTTCAATGCCAGAGTCTAAGAAGCTGTTTCCTGATGCCTGGTGAGGGTCTGATGTCTCCTTCTTTCCTATCAGTCACAACCAGTCCAGACCCCACAGCGTGGCACCCAGGGAACTGGCATACCTGTACATAATACACGTTATGGGTCCCATACTATGTGGAGGTAGAATGGGGGACCCATTCATCAACTGGCATCTTTCTCAAAAGACTCTGAAATCGCATCTGCGTAAATGCAGAACCAGGGTCCATTTCATCTCATGGTCATGCCACTGGTAAGGAAACAGGACCGGGCCATCTCTGTAGCCTTGGCCATGCAGAAAACAAGCCTGGGGTCAGGCAGTCATTGGGAGTGGAGCACATGGATGTGCTTCATGGTTTCAACAGACTAGGTTGGAGCCCGTGAGTGTGTGTGTAGGTCTGTTGGTGCCCCGGTGCACAAGGATACACACGTCTCCTCCCTGCCTCCTCCCTCCACTCGTCCCTTTGCCCACTAGGGAAAACACATCAGAGGAACCACAAGAGACAGAAACACTGGCTGACTGGCCAGGACCCAGGGCCCTGGTGAGTGACTCAGAGCTCACTCACACCCAGGTTGATCCCAACTTCTCTGAGTCCTTCTTGTCCTCATATGCCTACCGCCGGGCTTTCCTGAGGTGTGGAGGCCACTGTGTGTCAGCCTATGTCTATCTTGGCATTCTCACACTCTGGAGAAAGCAGGCCAGGGGCAGGTGCTGGGAATAGCATGGCTCCTTTGCTATAGATGAGGAAATTGAGGCTCAGAGAGAAACACCGACTACGAGGGTTGAGGGTTCTCCCCGCATGGGCTTGGGTCCAACTCCGCCTCCCTGTTCCAGGGAGACCAGCTTCACCCAGGGCCCCATGGCATCTATATAGAAACTACCGTGGGTCCCCTGTTCTCATGCCTAACACTGGGGATCTGGTGGTGGGTTACATGGGACATCAGGTCTGTGGAAGGTATCCCATGATACTTGCTCCTGCTTCTCAAATCCTCATTCGTGAAGTCTTCTAAAGCCAAGCATGGCATCATGTGTCTTTAATCCCACCACTCAGAAGGCAAACATCAGCAGATCTCTTTGAGTTTAGGGCCAGCCTGGCTTTCACAGTGAGCTCCAGGGTAGCCAGAGCTACATAGAGAGACTTTGTCTCAAGCAAAAAACAAACAAACAAAACAACAACAACCCAACAACAACATAAAGAATTCATCTGGGAACTGACAGGGCCGTGGCCAGCAACCCTAGCCTCTGAGATGTCCCTCATCCACCAGGGTTCCAAAGTACAAGGGAGAAAGTGAAACGAAACAACCGGAAGCTAGTTCATTGGATGCGTGGGGGTGCTGGGGTGCACACATCAGCTTTCAGCCATCGCCGTGGCCTTTCTGGCTGTTATTTCCCAACTTTCTGTATGTGGTAAGGGCGCTGCCTTTGTTCACAACAGTAAAAACACCTACAGCTGAGCAGGTTCCTAAAATCCCAGGTGAGCAGCCACACTTGCCACTCACAGCCACTTCCAGGTGGTCTTCGGGGATAGTGGGAGGGGCTAACACAGGGTAGGCTCAGACCTCAATACTGAGGTAGAAATTCTGCCTTTCCTTCAGCATGTTAGAGCTCTTGTGCTCCCTTCTAGGCCACAGACACCACGGGGGAGACAGGTGTCCCACTAGCTGACACCTGTGCTCTGGACTGTGGATCAAAGGTACATACCACCAAAGTTTACCTTGGGGAACCAACAACTTTATTGGGTTTCCTTACAGAGCCTGGGCGGAGGTTACTGGCAGGAATATGGGTGCTTTCTCCAAAAGGCCACTCTGGAAACTCTACCCAGAACGGCTGTTGGCTTCCCCATAGCCATACAGATGGAGCCTCTGCCCCTAATCCTTCCCCCACCTATAGCCTCTAGCCCTCCCCCAAGACCTACAGACCACGTGCAATCAGGGCAGAAGAGCACGCAGCTATTTGGAATGAGGGAATTGGCTACTCAGGTGAAGGCTCCCCACCCCACTTCTAAGGGAAAGTCCACAACCAATAAGCTGAGTCATCATGATCGCCTGCAAGCAGGCACAGGTGATCTGGTGAAGCTGGTGGTAGATTGGCTCAGTGGATAACCCTGTAAACGCCCTCACAAAGGTACGACACTAATCTAACAGGTGTGTCACTGCAGAGTGCAGAGGCAACACACGAGCAAGCTCTGGGCTTCCCACAGGGCAGCACCCTCAAGCCTGAGACTGTGGCTCCTGTGGCTCCCCTGTCTGCTGCCTCCTGACTCTCACAGACCAGCCCAGGCTCCCACACTTGCTTGTGTGGTTTCCAGGGAGCCAGTCTAAGTGGGGCAGCTATTGACCCCAAATACCCAGTCTTATGTGAGTCCCTCACTGCCCCCCCAAGCTGTTCTGCCCGCTGGAAGAGATATCTCTTGGGGCCCTTGTGGGTCCCCCAGCCACAGATCTGGGCCACTGAAGTAGCTTCCAGCATCCTCCCATTTCCCTGAGGCAGAAGGCACCAGCCAGCGGGAGGCATGCCCACAGAACAGCAGCCTTCTCTGTCCATCAGTGGTGCACAGGAACAAAACACACTTAAGACACATAAAAGAGGCATCCCCTTCCCTGCCTGCAGCCTCCGGACTCCCTCCTAGCCTGTTTAATAGGAAGCTGCAGGTCCTCCAGCCCTCTCGGATCATTTCTTGCCCCACCTCTGCCCATAATCACCCGAGGACCTCCAAGGAACACCAAGACTCTGTGGGGGACAGAGAGAGAACCTGTGTGCAGGCCTCACACAGGACACTGCGCCTATGGGCAGAGCAGGTCATGGACACCTACTTGGTGACCAAAGACAGGTCCTGCAGGACACTCTGCCCAACCCTACCTGGACGCGGCGATCTCGGCCTTCTGCTTGGCGATGGTGGCTGCCCGCTCGGCTGCCTCCACGGCCCGGTCCACCTTCTCCCGGATCTTACTGGCACGCAGCGGGATGAGGTTCTTGCGCTTGCCGCTCACGAGTACGTTCTGCTTGTATTTCCCCTCCTCCTTGGTGCCGTCGGGGAACGTCATGCACCCGTAGCCGTGCCGCCGGTTGCTGACCCACTCGCCCTCATACTTGAGCCCGTCCGAACGCTGGCTCACGCCGAAGCCTGAGCGTTTGTCGTTCTTCCACTCGCCCACATAGGTCTCAGTGGTGGTGGCATCAATGTCGTCCTCGATGACGGCCAGCTCGGCCTCGGCCTCACCCAGGCTGATGGTGGAGTGGATGTCGCTGGCCGTGGAGCTCACGGTGCTCATACCTGCCTCGCTGCGGAAGGAGCTCTGCTTGCTTCGCTGGCTGGCCAGGCTGCTCTTGGATTCAGACTTGCGCAGCTTCAGGCCGCTCAGCAGGGAGCGCCGGAACAGCCCCTTCTTCTTGCTCTTTAGGATCTCCGAGTCACTGTGGGCCACCAGCACGAAGCCACCGCGGGACACGGCTGGGCTGCCGGCCACTGCCGGGGAGGCATCCGGGTGCAGCGCCGCACCATTGGTGTGCTCGCTGCGCAGGGAGTTGATGGACGTCCTCAGGGGCGAGCGGATGACTGCGGCCATGCCATAGGGGACACTCTGCCGCACACCGTAGCCCTGGCGCATGCCACCAACCCATTGGCCCTGGTATGTCCCTGGGGAGACAGAAGAGAGAGGGGTGAGCTCTTGGGGCAGAATTTGGGTGACAGGTGTGTGGGACACCCACATCCACCTGCCCCTTAGAACCTCTTTATTGAGGGTGAATCCCAAGTGGGTTTACCTGGGCACAGAGGCAGGCAGAGGAGCCACAACGAGGCTGTAAATTGACCTCACTGGTGGTCATGTTCAAAGGCACCCCTGTCTTGTTTCCCATGGCTGGATTCTGAGACTGCAGTGGGGGTATGATACAGAGAGGCAGAATCCAGAGTGACCCTGGGGAGCCTTCAGTGGGAGGTAAAAGAGGGGAGGAAGCGTGGCCTGTAGAATGCTGAAGGCCATGAGTCTACTGAGGGCTCCCCTTAGGGAGAGTGAGGTCCCCACTGCTGCTACTAGAGGTGTCCCAGAAGGCTAGTCAGTCTACTCAGTGGGCACACCCTAGAAGAGCATCAGGTGCATGGGGAAGGGACAATGAGCAGACCACAGACGCACAGTAGGACCAGGAGCATAGAAAGATGCCACCTCTATACTGCACTGTCCACAGGAATCCAAAACAACTCCGTGTCAATAATGGTCAGCCTCGTGGTAAAGCCATGACACGGAAAATTAGCCAAGAAAAGTTGGATGTATTGATGTCACCATACCAAGGCACAACCTTTGCACCATAAAAGTAAAAGCGGCCAGGCATCAAAGGACAAATCCTCCTGGTTTCACCTATACGGATAAAGCCCCAGGGGCGGGAACAGGAGTTCAAGGCTAATGCCCCTCCCTGGGGACCATGTTTCCATTTGGGGTGATGGAGAAGTTCTAGAGTAGACAGTGACTACATGGTGGCAGGTTTAATATCACTGAACAACATGCTGAAAGGTGCCACGGTATGTGCTTCGGAGGCGGAGGCAGGAGGATTACTTGAGCCCAGAAACTCAGAGCCAACCTGGGCAACACAGCCAAATTCTTTCTCCAAATAAGAAAGGGTGGTTAAGGGCCAGGTGGTGGTGGTGCATGCTTTTAATCCCAGCACTCGGAAGGCAGACGCAGGTGGATCTCTGTGAGTTCGAGGCCAGCCTGGTCTATAAGAGCTAGTTCCAGGACAGGCTCCAAAGTTACACAGAGAAATCCTGCCTTGAAAAAAAAAAACAAAACAAAAATGTGAGAATGTGTGTATGTGTGTGTGTACATATTCATGGATTGTGCAAGTGTGCACATCTGTGCAGAGGTAAATTGTTGGTGGCTGTATTCCTCAATGGCTGTTCTCCACTTTGTTAAGACTTAAAATTTTTAGTTAAAGTATCTTAACTAAAATGTTCTAAAAGGTTTAACTTTTAATTTCACTTATGTGTGTTTTCCTGCATGTACGCAGTGCCGGCAGAGGCCAGAAGAGGGCACCAGATCCCCGGGAACTGGACTTACAGGAGGTTGTGAGCCACCTAAAGTGGGTGATGGGAACTGAACTTGCGACCTCTGGAAGAGCAGTGCACACTCTCTGCCACTGAGCCATCTCTACAGATGTTCCACCTTATCTTTTTTTTTTTTTTTAAACTTATTTATTTATTATGTATACAATATTCTGTCTGTGTGTATGTCTGCAGGCCAGAAGAGGGCACCAGACCTCATTCCAGATGGTTGTGAGCCACCATGTAGTTGCCGGGAATTGAACTCAGGACCTTTGGAAGAGCAGGCAATGCTCTTAACCACTGAGCCATCTCTCCAGCTCCACCTTATCTTTTGAGACAAGAGTTCACTAAACCTGGAGCTCACCAATTCAGGTAGACTGGTTGGCCAGCAAGCATCAGGGATCCACCCACTCACTGCTGCAGTTCCAGGCATGTGCCATGCACCTGGCTTTTTACATGGGTGCTCGGATTGAACTCAGGTCATGTGGCAAGCACTGTACTGACGGAGCCATCTCCCGAGCCCCGAGATGTTAAGAAGGCACTAACAACAACAAGAGGACAATGGGACATTCAGACCCCCCACTCCCGTTCCTGTCTGGCTCCGCTATGACTGTCTGACTGGAGGCAAGGTCTGGGACCCCTTCAGCTTCCCTCTCTGCAGACCCAGCAGAAGGGCTCATCACCCTGGGAGGGGCTCTTCCAGCCCACGACAGCAGATGCCCCGAGGCGGACACTGGTATCATTCTGAGGCACAAGGTGTCAAACCAAACGATTTCAGCACAAACTTGGTTCTCTCATGTATTCTAAAGACACAGCAGGCCAGGACCTTTCTTTTCAGATGTGACATGACTGGGACTCCATAGCAGTTGCCTCCTCTGGTCCCTCATCCCCCCCCCCATCACCCAGGACCCCTTCCTCATTTACAGACCTCTGAGATAAATGCATGCCATTGTCAGGTGTGAGCCAGGTGACCCCACTCAGGGTCCACGTGCGCACCATCATCACTCTCAGCTATTTTCTCCCCTCACAGCCCCCAGCCACGTGGTCCCAGCCAGATCAGACTTAAGGAGATCGGGTTAACTGAGGCTGAGTTCACAGAATGTCTCCCTAGTCAAACCCAAGCCCTCCAGGTCAGCCCAGTTCATGTTTCTCCCTAGCCACTAGTAACACACCAGTCACTTGAACCAACCATCCACATACTACACTGGCCCAGACTAGTACCAGGTCCCTGAAGGGCCCAGAGTGTCCCTTCCTGGCTACCCAGGCACCAACCCCACACTGCAGGCACACAGCTTTTACTGATGCGTGGCTCTCAGCAGTAACAGATGCTCAGGGCTTTGAACAAATCTGCCCAGAGCTGTGGCGTCCTTGGTGAAACATAACTGGTGGCTGACAGCACAACCCAGTGACAGAACACATACTTAGCACATGCGAGGGCCTGGGATCCACCCCAAGTATTACACAGAAAGAAAAAGTCCGGCATGATGGCTCATGCTTGCAATCCCAGTTCTGGGAAGGCTAAAGAAGAAGGATCATCATATATTTGAGGCCAGCCTGACTACCGAGTGAGACTCCTTGGCAAAAGCAAACAAAATAACAAAACAGAAGGACAAAGGAAGAGAAGAGAAAGTGGCCAGCAATATAGCAAGGTTGGCTTCTCCAGAACTGAGCCTGGGATGCAGCTACCTATGATGGTCACATAGGTGGGGTCAGGGAGAAGGGACAGGACGCAGAGGGTCCTACGGAGAACACACTGGAATCCACCCCACCTGGATGCAGGGGCAGACCTCTCTGTATTCCCACATGGGTCATTGTAGTCTCAAAGCTGGGCTGGGACAGAGGCCTGCAGGGAAGGCAGCTGATCTGGGGACCAGCCCTTCAATCCATTGCCATAAAGGTTGGAGGCCATTGGTCTGAGGACTGGGATGGGCACCCTCCTCCAACCTGATCTGTAGCCATCCTCATCCATAAAGGACAGGGAGCCTGCTGCCTGGCAGCCCTCTGCCCACAGCGGCCAATGGGATGCTCTAGGAAGCTGGGAGGATGGGAGTGTCAGCTGTCTTGGCCAGCGAGTGCATGGCACCGAAGGTTCAAGCTGTGCCTCGTGGGCTTCAGCCAAGAAGTGATTTTCCCAACCATTCTGGGGAGCAGGCTGAGTCCATGTCACCCAGAGTAAAGAAGGTACCGGGGCACTGTCACGGTAGGGGACTGTGCCAGGCAGGCCTCTCAAGTGACCACTGTGGACACGGTAGTGCTGCCCCTGAGGATGGAAGTCACCTGTCGAGCTTGTGTTTGAGAGGAGAAGCATAACACGCCAAGGTCCCGATGGGGTGGATCCTACCATCGCAGAAGTATGCCCCGGTGTCTTAGGCATAAAGGCAGGAAGGGAGGTAGGGAAACCGTGCCTAGCATAGCACACAGTAACAGCATGTGCTAGAACCTTCTGTGCTTCACAGAGGCCCTCTTCCCACTGTCAATAATGGCAGTGCAATAATGCATTGCATGGGTGTCTCCTATCACAGAAACCACCACTGGGTCCGACCTGTGGATCTTGCTTTATTTTTTTGTTTTACTTACTTCCTATTTATTTATTTATGGTGCAAAGGACCGAATCCTGGGCTCTGCACACACCAGACACAGACTACAAACCGAGTTAAACCCTCACTCAGCCACACGTTGCCTATTTATAAGGGCTGATATTCATACACAGTATCAAACTTTGTCCTTACGACACATCCCCAGAACTAAATTTCTCAGTCACAAGGAAGGTTTTCTCAAGGTCTTTGGCAAGTGATCCTTAGAAAAGGCCATGAGAATGACCACATCCTTGTCATCACCAACCACAGAGTGACATTCTAAAGCCTGGCGCGGCTCTGGAGAGGACGACTACTGGAGAAGTGTGTTCACCTGATCCCTTCAACCCAGGGATGGAACTGTGTGGACACACGCTCTTCCAAGAGATGAAGGTGGAAACGAAGTGGGCACCAAAGGTTTCATCCAAGAAGCCCTAAAATGAAGTCCCAAGAGAGCACAAAAAGGAAAAACCAAATACTGAGATGATGGTCTCCCAGAACAGGAGGGCCTAGGTGCTGACTGAGGACCTAGATCCCTGCAGAATGAACAGAAGGACATGGCAGCAGGAAGTTTCCAGAAAAACACAAAAATGGAGCATACAAGATATGTATACTACGCCGGGCGATGGTGGCGCACGCCTTTAATCCCAGCACTCGGGAGGCAGAGGCAAGCGGATCTCTGTGAGTTCGAGACCAGCCTGGTCTACAGAGCTAGTTCCAGGACAGGCTCCAAAGCCACAGAGAAACCCTGTCTCAAAAAACCAAAAAAAAAAAAAATATGTATACTAGTGACGCATGCCTTTAATCCCAGCGCTTGGGAGGCAGAGGCAGGCGGATCTTTGAGTTCAAGGCTAGCCTGGTCTACATAGGGAATTCTAGAACAACCAGGGCTACACAGAGAAACTGTCTCGAAAAACAAAAGCGAAACAAAAGAAACATACCCAACAGATAGAATGACACAGGACTGCACAACAGCAAGGCTTCCCTGATGTGAAACTGAGCCCCCCACAAGGCACAGACTCTGAATAAAAA